TAAGAAAGCAGGAAATGAGGTGAAAGGAGAAACATTTAGAGAAGAAAAGTTTCCGTCGCTATCAGCTGTTTCGAACCTGGGACCTATTGAATGAGAGGTGAACACTGTACCTCTAGACCACGAGGACCCCTTTGTGTATTTGTGTGTATGTTTGTGCTGTCTGTGTCTGAGTGAATGTGTGTGTGTGTGTGTGTGTGTGTGTGTGTGTGTGTCTGTGTGTGTGTGTGTGTGTGTGTGTGTGTGTGGATAGGTGGGTGTGTGACTAGTGTGGAACTGTTGGCTTGAACATAGATGCAAAGTTTTTAAGCTGCTTTCTAAGTTTAAAAAAAAGAATGCCCTTATTAACATCAAGTCGAAACAACAATGTAGCGTCCATTTAACGCGTAAAGGGTATAGCTGTTTGGTTGTAGTTTGGGTTTTTTCGATAAATAAATGAGGAACAATAAAACGGGAATTCTCATCGGAGCTAAATGATCTTCACTTAATTCAGCCTATACTCTTTCTATATTTACATGCCAAATTAAAAGAGAATCTGTTGACAAATAACTGAATAAAATGGGATTGAAGTAGTTAAAGCCATCGTTACCGTAACAACCGAATCATAGCAATTTCAGGACCGTGAAAATCACTAACGCTAACAACCGTTTGTTTGTGACAGTGTGCTGATCAATAAATTGTCTATAGCCGTTGTTTAATGTTGAGTATCTATTCTGGCTTTCCCCTGCCTTTGAACTTTTACCTAACTTATTTAAATCTAAACCCTTTTCGTTTCATCTGTTTGCACATTCTACCCCAATAGATATCGATTCGGTCAGCCCCAGTGACCATATTTTATTCTCTTTCTAGTTGGGGTTTTTTTTTTCAATCAAATAAAACCTACTTAAGCCTTGTATGTTGTTGTTTGCTTGCTTTTATTTGTTCACAGCTTATCGATCCATTTATCTGTCTGTCTGTTTGTTTCCCTCTATCCTTTTCGTGTTTCTCAATCTGGTTTCTTCGTGGTTTATTTATTAAGCCGTCATCATTACAGCCAGAAACGATTATTACAAAGCTTACCTTTCGTTCTTAGTGCCATTATCGCCTCTCTTTTTCCTTCGTGACTGTATGCTTGTACTTTTGGTATTCGTTTTCTTTATTTCCTGTCTGAGTATCAGTGGGTTTGGCACCCGTTTTATGTCCATATTTCTTATCCCCCCC